CTGGTTTCTCAAATCTCAATCTTCTAGATAAATTACATGAAGGAGAAAGACGGTGATATAAACCTGGTGATATTGCTGACACACCAGCCATATTTCCTATGCGACTTCAGACGCATTTTTTTGAAAAACGCAAAGTCAAATAAATGACAAAAAGCACTGCAGCAGGGAGACCATAATCCTGCATTCAAGCAAGGACCCGCGGAATGCAGACTGCAAGAAAGACCGACAGTGTCACCGTCAGTGAGTTTCAATAAATTGTCCCAATAAATTGTCCCACCCTCAGAAAGCCAGTGCATTCTTAGATGTGGTTGTCTGTATTCAAGGTTATTGTAAATTCATTAAAATCATCTAAGTTAAATCTCTCTTTCAGTTTCAATCTACAAAAACCTTAATAATAAATTCATCTCTCCAAAATGTTTAGACTATATATCTTGTAAATATTGTTTTACCCGTGACATACACAAGCTAATAAAAATAACGGTAACCAAGGCACATGAAAAGATGCACAGGCACCAGTCTGACATGACTCTGAAATTCCTGAGTGATCATAAAATAACGTCAGGTAGTACTTTACCTACTCACGGTTTCAGCACCACGGACAGCAGCCACTCCACCTTGCAGGAAGCACCGGAAGAGTTGGATGCAGAGGAAGTGACGTCAAATACCCGGGAATATAAGCCGCTGCAGCGCTAGAGGGGCGGGCACCGCTGGTGCGTTGCAGGGGAAATTCTAATTGTCCACGTCTTGGTGTTTGCTGTCTTCCTGCAACCTTGCCAGCCATTTAAAGCCGTGTGTCGCTTGCAGTTCAATATAACTTACAGAAACTACATACATATGTACACCTCACGATATCAAATTGCGTAACTGTATTAAGCATAATATCATAGTTGCAGTCTGAACTATATTTCATAACAGAAAACTTTAATAAAATCGGTAAAATCAGACACGTACGTCGGGTTTACTGTGGAAAACGGGCGTCTGTAAGTAATTCTTCATTTTGATTTTTGCAATTAAGAGTTTTAAGGATAAAAGTTGTTATTTCTTAATTCTAGTGTAACATTATTTAGTGAGGACAATATTCTACTTTAATCTTACAGTTGCTTATTTGCAGTCGCGAACTTCACAAGCCCGTCCTTTCAGTTCAGACGACAGATGAACAGTTTATCGGGTGAGAACATGCACAGTATAAGAAAAAGCAAGCGAAAAAGGACATATTCGCCCACAAATTTATTTGCTTATCACTGTACGTACAATAGCTGCTAATAGGCAAATACAATACTTAAATGTCAATCAATCGTTTGACGTGTGTGCAAAGCAAATGTAGTGGCAAAATTGGATACAATGTTTTTTAAAAGCAGACCGCGATGTATTCGATGGACACAATCTTCAGAGAAATGTAAGACACAAAACTTTAACAAAAAGCCTAACTTCCAGAGTTTCTGTCTATCCAATCTATTGCATATGAAAGTTCTGAAAATTAAAGTTCTTTACTATTACCACGCACAGTTAATAGCAAAAGTTACAAAATGTGCTTAATACGTCGTGTTTGATATGATGCTTCCACGTAAAACAATTATAAAAATATTTTTAAAACCTTGCCTACGGAAACCGGCAGTAACGCAGAAATGTATGAGGTTCCTGTAACATCACATTTTAAAATTTACTACTGACGTGTGGTTGAATAATTAAATTAAATATTTGCACCAAAGCAACGGTAAACTATAAGCGTATTGGCTAGAAAAAAGGTGAATTATTGCTTTGGCTGACAAAGAGCAAATTATTCTGCAGTTTTCCATCTATACATAACATATATTGGTATTAAACAATCATAACAATCTATCACAATAACATTCACAAATAGCAGAACATCTTTAAGTTCCTGTTCTCAAATTATATTCTCACTCTCCTGCTTCATTTTTGTTTTTTTGGCAATGAAATACCATAGTTGTGTCTGACAGTGACACACTGGAGCATGTGATCTTTGGATTTATTTAATTCCAGAAGTGTGACAGTTTCACAGGTGCGACACATCCACAGCTCAGAAGCGTATCTGCACGCTAAGGCTTACAGACGAAATGTGTCATGTGACTGGCTCATGGGAGAAATGAGAGTGCTCCCTGATTGGCTCAGACAGAGCGCCATGCTCGCGATCGCACAATCACCAATGTCGTGAGGGCTGCTGGTAGAGCTTAGGATTGTGGGAAGGGCAGGAGGCCGGGAATCTCCCTGTGGCGTAGATGTGTGACCTGTTGGCAGTGACATGAGGGCGGATGGGAGGGATGCAGCCCCAGGTTTGAGCTTTGCAGGTGACTAGAGCGTGATCATGTGGAGGTCGGAGGCAGAGAAGTGAGGGCACAGGGCTGTGTCAGGGTCTCTGAGCAGCTTCAGTACCATCTTGTGGAACTTGTCACGGATGCGGTTGAATTCCATGATGTCACGGGGGTCTTCCTCCATCCAGAACCTGTGAAACTCCTGCATCAGATAACCTGCAGGACAGAGAAGCCTTAAAACAAGCCGCCTCGCCGGGGAACCGTGTCAGAACCTCTTTCAAAAAGTTGGACTCTCTTCAAAATAACTGCGACTGCAGGCTACAGATACTCGTGCTGCCTCAAGGTGGCGCTGCTTACAGAAGGTCTGCTGGAAGTGGGCTATGCTGGGCATCTCTGGGGCCACGTTGTACAGGTGGGTCTTGAGGGCACCGCCCACCAGCAGCCTGTAAGCCAGGTCCGTGATGTTGATACCCACGATGGCGAAGGAGTACCTGCACCGGTAAGGTATGGGATCAGAAGCAGTGGGCGTTCATGAGGCCTGTCATTCCCAGATCGCTCACTCTACATTTATGCTGCCCTTCCTGCTCTGGTGTCCCTGATGCTGCTCTTTACGGGGCTCAGTGAATCTCAGCTATCGATTCTGGCTGAGGAAATGCAGGCCTGTAACCTGGCCGCTTGGCACAAAATCATGTGGGGAAACCGGACCCCGGGCTCCACACTCCGATAATGTGTTTGTGTCATATGGTTTGGGAGTGGCTGGCTGGGAAAGAGTGATATCCCATACATACTCGCAGATGCAATCGCCAGCAACCAGCCTGACTTTCTGTCTGATCCAGGTGCTAATCACAGCCTGAGCCAATATGAAAGGAGATGGAGAATAGGGAGCTGGATGGGGGCATGTTCTCTGCTGTCTGTGGCCCACCTGACATGGTGTGGTCTGGGAAACGATCTACCAATCACAGAGCATCAGGCTGAAGAAGCACTCAAGCTACTGCTACAAGAATGGAGGTAGGAAGATAAAGGCGGGGCTTAGGTGACCAGTGAGCAGTGTTATCAAGCAGCCTTACCCAATCGCTTTATCCAGCTGGCTCTTCTCCCACTCTGCCTTACTCATCTTGCTGTGAAAATCAAAATACATTATGCAGCTGAGGAAGAATGACAGAACTGCGTCACGCTGCACCAAAGAGAAGAAACGCTGATTAAACAACAGCGAGGGCGGACATCTTTCATAAGGGCAGGATTTATTCTCGTAAACTTCCTGCTGCTCTTACTGAGCCATAACTCAAACTCTGCACTTGCGAAGGAAATGTCTGTTGGCATGTATGTGTTGGATACGTATGACAGAAAACAGAAAAATAAAAATGTGTGAATGAAATAGCTCAGTTCGTCCCTGCAGAAAGTCCAGCGTGAGATGTGGAGAGATGTGGCAGGCATGATGGCGATGTGTGTCTGATGACGAACAGCAGAGATTAAAAAAGCATTTTTGTTAAATGTGAAAAAACATGCAGAAAATGAAAAGGCAAACAATGTAAACAAAGAGAAGGACATGTTTCCAGACATCCATCCATTAATTTTCTGTATCCACTTGTCCTATTCAGATGTACATTAAATTTATACATGACCCTGAGTGACGGCTGAGCGAGAACAGTTCACAGGAGGTCCACCAGGGGGCGAGAGGTGAGACTGACCTGCTCTTTGGCTGCTGCGAATCGTGGAGGAGCTGCAGGGCATTGGCTCTGTCGTGTTCTGCGTAGTATCTGTGCAGCCACAGGAGAAAAAAAGGGGACCTCAGTGTGACCCAAGGAACCACATGTGGCTTCACACACCAGCCTGACAGGCCTGTTTCTGCAGTGGTTCTGAGCACGGTTAATTACTCATTATTAACTCACCAAGGCCTGTTCTGCTGGTCCTCTTTTAAACATTCTTTGCTTTTTAAAATTTACATCTTGAACCACTAAATTGCACCCTTTTAGGCTTTCTTTAGCAGTCTTTATGCCATGCAGGTGGCGCTCTACACCAAGGTTAGATAAACCTGTCTTCATTAGGGCTAATTGAAGGCTCGCTCACAGGAGATTAGACAGGCCCAGGATCCCCATTCCCCGGAAGTCCGTCTTGGGGTCGCTGCCTTGGAAACCGATGTCACACCACTGCTTGGAGATACGTCCCGTGAGGGGGGTGTCTGGGCATAAGCACTTCCACAGCTGCGGGGGCACGGAGGAAGGACACAGTCAGCTGGATAGCGACGGGGTGTGAACACAGTTAGCATGCGGTACAGCTGTGTGTGTGTATCGCACACAGTTAGCATGTGGTACAGCTGTNGGTACAGCTGTGTGTGTGTAAAACACACAGTTAGCATGCGGTACAGCTGTGTGTGTGTATCGCACACAGTTAGCATG